TAACCTAGTTTAGGTTTATTTAAATAAGGATAATATTGAGGAAGAAAAGTTTGAACTCGTTGTACGTGAAACGGATGCATTTCAGGTCTTTGTAAAATACGATGTGCTGTGCTATTACAATAAGAAAGAACGGGAAAAAGAAAAAAAAAAGAAAAAAGAAGAAAAGTATTTTCGTTTGTGTACAAACGAAAATATTTTGGTCATCTGCGACCTTTTGCAACACTTCTTCCTAATAAGGAAAGCGAGTTCTACCTCCAGCCCGTATTTGATTCGGGAAATGGCCGCCCTCCGTGAGTGCGGCCGGTACATATAAGCAGTGATCTGGATAGCGCTCTAAATTTGGATATCTTTCACGATAAAGCCTAGCGGCAGTAATTGCATTGCATCTGCATTCCTCATAAATGAGGTGCTTGTTCGCAATTTTTTGTGAAGTAAATAACAAGGATACCAACACAAAAGTCCAATTCCAAAAGAGACAGCCCAAAGTTGTCGGTATGGAATCAACAAGTTCAATTCACAAAAATCCAAGTCCAAAAAGAGAAGCCAACAACAGCGAATACGGAAAGACGCGCAGTAGGCTGAGCTGAAGCTGAAACAGAATGAGCAAAATGTACTAACTGGTGTCAGACTGGTAGCGTAGCCATTTGCTTGGTATGGCGACTGTATCTGTTTCATTCGCGCGCGTTTAAACGACGCATCTCCGTCTCACTGGGTGGCACATCTGTCTCGCTCGCTCACGACAACATGTCCACTACCCATTTCTCTTATCATTTTGCCGTAAAATTAAGAACCTACTACTATAAGCTTGTGTGAATAAGAAACATTTGAACGGAGTAAAATAGGTTAGCAATAATCGGTTTACTTGAGGTTTTTTTCTCGTTTTTTTTTAGTATGAAACTAACAAGTATTGTACATTTAGAATCCTGATTAAATGTCCGAACTTTTAATGGCACTTGCCAAGGCACTTTAGTACATTTTTTTAAAAGAGGGCCTTTCAAACTCTACAATTTATGAAAATTTTAAATGTAGTTTAACAAATAGTCTTAATTCTAGAAAACTTGGGGCAATTGTGTCATTATTTTTTACTGTGATTCTAGAAATGTTATTTGGCTTTATGGTTCCAAAGTTTAAATGAATAAAAATAATAAAAATTAAGCACAATGACCGAATAATGGTTATAGTTTGACCAAATTTCTAAGTTTTTCTTTAATGCTCCTAATTTTCAAACTGCATGGGATAGATTTTTTTCTGATTTTTCTCATGATGGTTACAATCAATTCTCTCACTGCTTGAAATTGAGTTCTGGGACAGCCTGTATAGTATAATCGAAGCCAAATATTTCACCATTACTTTGTTTTGCTTTCCATAGCTACAAAGACAAGTGCTTACCTAGACTTACTACAGATAAAAAGTACTTATCGGAGAAAATAAAGTTGAAAATATGTCACAATTTTTTATGTGATACTCCAACATATAGTCGGACAGACAACAATGATTAATTAAATAATATTTTTGTGAAATTATTGACAATCAATAAGTTTTTTGATTACACTAAATATGTAGTAACATTGAGAAAAAAAATACTTTATTTTGGATTCAATATTATATATTATTAGTATTAGTACGTATAACATTTATTCGTATAAGTAAATAAAATAGTGTAAAAAATGTAAAAAGGGTAACTAAATGATTACATTACTTGAAATAGTAAAAGAATTAAGTTACAGCAATATTTAATTTTTGTATAAATTCATAGACGACTCCACGATTTTACTTTGTTATAATGAGTCAGTCGATTTTTCTTTGGGTGTAGGGTTGTCACTTCGCCAATCCTAATAGCCGGACAGACCATCCAGTTTGGCGGGACATATTGGTAAAAAGGCCGGATACCCTACATTATTGAGGGTTTTGTGTCTCAATATCATGTAAATATTTATTACAAATAAATTACATTACATTACAAATAATTTTGTTAATTATTATTAATAAGTGTTACTTTAGGTGCGATCCGTCAAAATATTTAAAATTTAAATTGGCCCGTTGATAAAAAAGGTTGCTCACCCCTGTTCTAGATAAACAGTTATCAACATTTTAAAATTCTTCTTAACGTCTAATGAAAGGTAATTGCGTAAATAAGTATTATTTACCTGTACCTGTTACTTCAGCAACTAACGAAATAAAAAAACATCTAAGCAAAACAAAACTTCTTGAGTTAAGAAATAAAAAATAAAATTGTTTTACAATAAAATAATGTAAAAGCCTACCAAACGGCGTACAAGACTATTTATTTTAGCCAGATGCCAAAAAAAGTCCCGTCAAAATCAGTGCAACCATTTCAGAGATTAGCCGGAACAAACAGACAGACAGACAGACAAAATTGGTAAAAAATGTTATTTTGGTGTATGTAACGTATTTATATTTGTATGCATGTAGTAAATAACTGTTATTTCAATATTACCAACAAACGCTCCAATTTTATTTATATGTATAGATAATGGGAGTGCCCCATTTTTATTTATAAATAACTACGAAATCAAAATAATGTAAAATTTGTTTATATTTTCTTAACCATTTCTATACATTAATACTAAAAGTTTTTTATCATTTTTAACAATTAATTGTCACTACTTTACAAATTATGACTTAGTATTACATTCGTAATATGTACGATAAATCATTACTAACTGTATTAACTTATGTAAATACAGTAATTGTTAAATGTAAAATAAGTAACTGTCACCCGCACCATACTATAGCGTACGCTATAATATGGTGCGGGTGTATGACGAAATAATTTACGATTTGATAGCGCGCGTTCTCAGGCGAGCTCTCCGCGCTAAGCACAGGTCCGACGTTGGCAGGGGCCGGGGACTGACTGACTTGCTTAACTCTCATACAAAACAACTTGTGAGCAAGAGATTTTTATGCGGAAAAACAGTTTATCTTGTTTAAAATAAAAACTATTGGTTATTATATACATCTGAATTGTACTATTTGTCGAGTCTTAAATCAGTCCCGTTTTCTTATACGAATCAAACATATATTTTGTAAGACCAATCTTTGAGATTTTTTTTCTGCTACAAAAGTTAATCAATCATGTAACGGGAACTGTCAATATGATGTCAAAGATCTGAAAAATGAAATACCTAAATATCAGCCCCGAATGATTTGTAATTGCTGAGAAAAGTTAAGGTATCTGAGGTCAATATTTGCAATGCGTCGCCTTAAATGAATCCTGCTGAAAATTCGATGTTGCTATTTAAAAATTACTAAGATGATGTCAAGAGAACTTTACTAGATAGATATGGTTTAACATCGCTATCTACCTCTTTGAATCTGTGGATAATATTAAACATTAATCCCTATTTTGTAGATGGTAGGAACATATTGTCTGTGGTTCTCTGTGGTTGAAAGAGATTGTACTATTGTGTCCTTCCGGGTAAAACCATACAAAAAATAAGGTCCCATGCTTCCCGAGATGTATTATTTCCTTCTATAATATGGATGATGTCGATTCTATTTAATTCCGACTGATTGCATTTTGGGAGGGTTGGGCAACAATGAAAATATATTCGCATTCAAATATTTTAAGTACTAGCGACTTGCCCCAGTTTTGCACGGGTGCAATAATTGTAGACACCTCTAAATCTATAGAAAATAAAAATAGTTCGTGTTACTCCCAGGTAATGTAACTTTGTATGCATGAAAGAATCTGATTTTTTAAAAATTTATATACCGAAGTCCATTACAAAAAAGCAAATCTTAATTTAGACAACTGTTACGAAGACTAACGAATACAAGAAATGTTTGAACTTAAAAATACATTAATATTATTTTCTACTTTCACAACAGCTATAAATGTGAATTAACTTCTAACGGTCTCGGTCTCAGCATTTTGTAATGACGACTCGGGCTCGATTTGCACTACACACCAATAGGAAAAACTATCTTTAGCAATTAAGTGAGGCATGTAGTTATTTTAAGTTCGCCCTTATTTTCTACGCCGTAAAGTCCTACTTTTTCTAAGACATTTAATCATTATGGCTATTGAAAAAGTACTATTAGTGTTACATATTTCAAATTGTAGGATATTATTTTTTGTAATTCTCGTTACATTATAATATTCAATACATATAATAATCAATACATTCGTTTACAAAGGGTATTATTTTTACTTTCATATTTCTATTACCGTCGCTGACTATTACATGACAAATTATATTTATTTTTAGATTTGTTTAACCGATTTCAAAATGAAGGAAACCCTAATTCAACCATATTAGTATGAATTTGTCTGTGAGTGATTATCCTTTTGCCTAGCCTTTTGTAATCACATGTATACATTTGTTTTTTCTCACAGCATTAGAGTAATCATTATCAGATTTATTAAATGCAATATAAATTTAAATTAAAAATAAAAATGAATTGCAGTATTCGTTTTTTTTTAATTTAACTTTTTCTTGTGTCGCTTATATTTCGATCCTCACCTAATAATATAAAGCGTTTGTATCAACAAAATCATCATTGTCTTGACTTTTTCCCATTATTTGGTGTATATCTTCCACTGTGCAGTCAGTCATATATAATATAAAACATCTAAATATATATAACTCAAAGGTGTCTGACGTAGTGATCTATCAACGCACAGCCCCAACCATTGGAGGATCGAGCTGAAATTTGGCATGCAGGTAGATGTCATGACGTTGCCTACGTCATGACACGTCCTACGTCCACGTCCTACGTCCACTCCTACGTCCGCTAAGAAAGGATTTTGATTAATTGTACCCCCAAAATAGGGGATGAAAGTTTGTATGAAACTCTGTCAATTTTAAACCGATCGGACTGAGACTTTGCATACATAAAAGTACTATGACGTAGACATCCCCTAAGAAAGGATTTTGATAAATTTCACCCCCTAAGGGGATAAAATAACACGAGCGAAGCCGCGGGCAAAAGCTAGTTTGTATATATGTGTCCTAAATAATACGTTAAAATTTCAGGCAAGCAGACAATACCACTGGGCGGGACCTAACAGCATACTGTCAGAAGTGGGCACTTTACACTTGGAGTTTACCTATCTCAGTGAAGTCACCGGACGGGATGGTAAGTCAAATTAATATTGTATGCGGGACTGCATGTGCTGGGGTCGATGTAGCATAGGGACAGATTTTCATACTAATATTATACTCTTTCATAGTTATAATATTGGTATAGAATAGTAAAGTAGAAAGTTAAGTAAAGTTAAAGAAATTACTATTTCTTTTTCTTATAAGGATGGATATATGTGTTTATTTTACTTACATTACGGAGCGAATCGGTCGTTCACAGCGCCATCACCTGGATCCAATTGTTCCACTTCATCCAATTGTTCAACAATCCAGCAGGGACAAAAAATTATCAAAATGAGTACAGTAGTTTAGAAGTTCAGTCACATACACACGAAAATATGTAGGTGTATTTATATAGGTAACGGACTAATTATAATCACCTTAATTAGAATCAATTTAACTAATTATTTTTATGTTGGAGTAAATAAAATAAAGTGAATTCATTAGGTTGACGTTGGTAGAAATCCGATGCCCAAATTAAAAAAAGCCGATCGTTCACGGCATGGCGTGTTGATGTTGAGCCAATTTTAGAAGTGGTCAATAAACCTGCGTTTGGTTTGTTAGTTTTTATATACAATTTCCGACACTTAGAAGCAGTAATATGCTTGAATTAAAATACACAGAATAGAAAAATAAAATTCCTGTATTTATACAGGAATTTTATTTTTCTGTGTATGAATAACCTTTAATAACCTTTGAAATTCGAAACCTTGTGCCTGAACTTATACCAGACCTATGATTTTAATGTATGCGTTTCATATTCATTTAATTTAAATATTGAAAATCGAATATGGATTTAACAGAATCCAAATCATTTGTATGTATATTGTATTAAATATAATAATGATCGTATTACATTTACAATGTAGTTTAAAAATATATTTGTAAACGGTACGGTACAGACTCCTAAAATACTATAGGTTTAACTTGCGCAGTACTGACCTTTAATATACCATTTTTGAAAACATCGTGCTGTAGTATAGACATAACTTCGACAGGGAATTCATTCAATAATCGGAGTGTGCATTTAAAAGTAACACAAATTGTAAAAAAATATTTTTTTACCATTCTTTGTATCATTTTTTAGATCAAAGTTATGCTCTGTATAATCGCTTATTTTCTGATTATATTCCATTCTTGAAATTAGTGTAGGTGTTAAAAACACAGGTTTCCGTTAGGGTTGAATTCCAATAATTAACTTTTTCAACATCAAACTGTGTAGTTTTAATTAGAGAATAGAGTTTTTTATCATTTATAGAGTTTCACAAACCCAAGGGCAGGATGGTTTACGGCCTACACTTAATTGTCTATACTATATTTACATGTATATTTATATTATGATAAATCTATACTAAGATCATTAAGTGCGGAGGAAACCAATTGTGGGTTAATTCTTGGTAAATTCCCTGGCCCACTGGTTTGACCGTATCAGTATCAGAATTACAGGTCCTGTCAGTATTAGTCTGCGTTACTAATGACTACTCGAGATGTTTTAGTCTCTACTAATTACTATTATGCTGTGCCTACTATATCTATTAATAAAATTACACAGTGTAGTGACATTGTTAATGTTCCCACTTGAACTGTATTGATTAGTCATCAGTTCGTAATTTCGTATTGGTTATTCTTTACAGTGTACAAGCAGAAAGTGGATAGAATCCGTGACGTCCTCAACAATATAGAGAAGCCGGGCGACTTGTATCCCAACTTTATCAACCCACGCACCGGACAGTGGGGACAGAGTGAGTATTACCCAGTTTATTAATTTGCCTATAGACTAGCTGTCCATCCACTGATTCCCAAAGGTGTAATATGAAACAGAACAACTGAACGTTAATCTACCAATGAAATGAAAGTGAAAAAATGTTTATATCTTTTAATGAAAATGTATAACAAACCTACAAACCTTTAACCTCCCGGTCACAAGTCTACTGGGAGTTTCCGTTTCTGCCACACGTGGAGCCCACGGTGATTCCACGGAATGATAAGAAGTTCGATATAAATTTTATTACATAGAGTGTACGATTAGGTCTAACAAATCTTTTTTTCCCATCATATTCGTCTATGGATAAGCAATAAGGCAAACGTTGATTATTGCATCTGACCATAGAGAAAAATTACTTATGTGTTTATTTTATAATCTATATAGTTATTCTAGAGATATTCTGGTTCTGATACCGAAATGTATCAGAACCAGAATATCTCTAGAATAGCTATATAGATTATAAAATAAACACATAAGTAATTTATCTCTATGGTCAGATATATATCTCTATAGATATATACTCATATTTTTTAGTGAAAAGTACATGATTTTCAATTGACATTTTTTTAATAATGCATTTGTATTTATTAATCGGAAAAGAATTGTATAAGAATAGTATTGATTTTTACTTTAAAATATAATCTGCTTCGCAAGAACCGAGATGATTACCATGTGAAATATGTATATACACATATTTAATATCAACTGTATAGTCGTGTAATATTTTTTATACTTTTGTTTATGTTATTGGTAGGTACACATGAAAACACATGTGTTGATTCATTCTGTACAATTACATCGATCGTCTGGTCTGTGAAATAAATTAAATTATTATCCTAATAGTATAAGAACTTAAACAACAAAACACCTGTTCCATAACTCAGGTAGATCCGGAATAATTTACATGAATTTGGTTCCTAAATTATTAGTTGGTACTGTAGTTAATCGAACCCAGGATGCGATTTGCCCGGAGCAACGTGGTTGACCATTGAACTGCGGAGGTTGCCATGGAAACACTAATTAAACAAACTTCCAGTATAATCCGCTTGCAATTCTGCAAACAGCATTCTAATTGATAATGCATATTGAGGTATATTGGTGCCTACATAATGTAGTAGAGATGTTTAATACAATCGCGCTTGGGAAAATAACTGAAACTTATTACTGTACAAATAAACACATAAGAAATGTAAACAAAATCCTACATATGATAAATTTATTTATTCAGTATCTTCGTCGTGTATTCAATTAACGGTATATTGTATACAGGTTACTTATATTTTTTATTCTAATATAAATATATGACAAAGATAAATGTTACTGCGTGAGCGGTGATCCCAATTAATTTCGGTGTTAATTCCACAATTAATTGTAATAGTGACACCAACTGCTATATCTCTTTTTATTTATATACCTAATATATCGAAGGTATATGTACTAAGCTAAATATTTAATTTTGAGCATTTCGTCAAATTAGGAACTACTTTATTGTCATTATACATTAAGCATCAATAGGAATTACAATGCAGTTCTTTATAAAATAAAGATGTTTATCTGCTCCTGAAATGCAAGTATAATAATTATCATTCAAATAATTTGTCTGGCATAATAATGAACTTGCATGATTTAGTATTAACGATATAAAGAAGTCTGATCACAAATTAAAAATAGCTTTTTAGATACTCCGAACGAACTTATTATGCTCATATATATATATATATATATATATATATATTATATGAAAAGTTTATTTGTAACTTCACAATCACAGTTATGTTGTTATTTACTTTAAGAACGTAACAATATTATTTTTTTTAGATATAAAACTACAGTTTTATATTCAATTCCAGGACATGTATCACTGGGAGCATTGGGCGATTCATTCTACGAGTATCTACTGAAAGCGTGGTTGTTATCGAACCGCGAGGATGAACAAGCCCGTGTCATGTTTGACACGGCGATGCAAGCTGCACTGGACAAAATGCTCAGGGTGTCGCCGTCCGGGCTCTCGTACCTCGCGGAGCTGAAATACGGCAGAGTATTCGAAGAGAAGATGGATCATCTGTCGTGCTTCGCTGGTGAGTTGAAGTTACGTTATACCAGATTGTCAAGGGAATAAAGAATTTTCGAGGGTTCAGGTATTGATACCAGAACAAGAGTACAAAGTCATATGGGTGGATATTTACTTTTTTCTCATCCAATGGGTTCCATCAAACCAGATCTGGTTTGAATGCTAATATGATTAAATTATGGGCGCATCCAAGTTTTTAGGTGGGTTAATAAATACTAAGAAGTAATGTATTTTTAATACCCGTGGTATCATTCGTGATTATAGGCGGCATGTGCCACTTTCAATCCAGTATACCGTCACCTCTGTACCATTACAATTCATAAAAAAGATATCTAGGGAGAAATTGCGGAATTTTTAATACCCCCGGACATATTTTTTTATTCTTCTAACCCGTTGTAATTGTTTCTTTTTAAAGGAATATGACTTGAGAATTTTTAACGTTTACTCGTTTGTTTAAGCATTTAATCAGGTGTTATCTTCGAAATGTTTTGTTGTAACAGTTGGCTTATAATAATATATGTTTAGCAATGCTAAACGGTGTTAACTGTTCGGATCTCACCTGAAGTCACAGTTATTTTCCTGTCTGCGACCTGCTTTCAATTATTTTTCATTGTCTGTTTGTTTGCGTCTCAAGATAACACGGTTGTACGATACTTGTTTTTTGTTCATTTGCCGTTTCACACTCGCACGACACCTATTCAATACAGTATAGACAAAACAATAATATTTCTAACTACGTTCGTGTTAATAGTCTATTCTTTATAAATTGTTGGTAATTCTCTATCAAAATTAATGTTTAATAACACTTAGATACCTATTTTTATTAAGATAGTAATACCTTTTTTAAAAATATCGATCGCAGGAATAGGCCAAGGTTCAATATACTAAATAGGTTTGATGATGTTTTAATGAATAAGTGAATTTGACATGTCGAACCTTCCACTTGTCGCCTTTCACGTGCAGTTTTTATGACTACGAATGCTCTCTATAGTAATTACTGTTTAACCACATTATTCTCTTGTTCTATTTGAGAAAGGAGTATCCAAACACGGGATATCTGTATAAGAAGGTATGAAATGTAAGCATCCTTTTGCTGTCGGTCCTCTTTGACTATCCCGTAAGGGCTGGCAGGAAGATAGTTTTTTTTTTATAAAACTGGTATGGCACAAGTGAATGGCGCATTCAACATTGCGATGCACGACATCAAAATGTCGTAAGTGTCCAAAAGCTTTGTCTTTTACGAGAACTAAATAATTTTACCTCAATACCCGGTAATGTCACACTTAACACCAAAGCATGAATTGCAAAATAAGTTTATTTTTATTTTTATTTTGTTTGGGCTATTGTCAGGTGCTTAGACATGTGGCACAGCGACCTACATAGATCTATTGTATCGCTCTTTTTCAGAGTTCTCTACCTATATCTATAGGAGCGATGGTTTTTATCTCCTCAGGATAGAGGAACTTTCCAAAGAAGATATTTCGTTTATGCATTAGTGGGCTACAACCACATAGGATATGTAGTGGTGTTTCCTCTTCAGATTGGCAAAGTCTGCAGAGTCTGGCAGAATTAAAATAAGTTACTAAATCGTAGAATTAGTTCAGTGTATTACACAAATTACTGTGTATAAAATTACCGTCTAATGAATGAATGAACATATGAATAGATCTTGTTTATTCCTCTATATTCCAGGCGGTATGTTCGCGTTGGCGTCCACTACGCTAGAGAACACATTGTCCGAGAGGTACATGGATGTAGCACGCAAACTGACTCACACGTGCCACGAGAGTTATGCGCGCTCCGAGACACGGCTCGGACCCGAGGCGTTCAGGTTGGTTTCTCATTATTAGCTGCCTTTATACATACGCTCTTTCACGCGGTAATCGGATTTCACGCAGAAAATAATTAATATGTAAATGTAGACAAAGAACAAGAAAGACCGCGCCCACCGCCAGCGAGTGCAATCCCGCGTCCTTCAATCATGCGTGGTTTGGCCATTCCAAAATGGATGACTATAGAGCAAAGACATAATTATAGAGTTATGATAATTTATAAATTTTAAACGTATCTTCTGAAAGTAAAGTCTAGAAATAAAAAAAAATGTAGAAATTGAAATTACTTGAAAATACCCGAATTATAAAAAATAGTATAAGGCAACGCGCGCTGGCTTTCCTTGTGAATTATTAAAGACTAAAAGTAAGAACTAAATAGTTTAAACAAAATTACTGATCCTGGCAGCTTGTCCACAATTTTTTTTCATAAATTTTAATATTATTTTGAGATCTGTATTTTATGTCACTTTTGATTAGTTTTCTTCGCTGTGAGCTTTTTTGGAAAATATGCACCATTATTACAGCTATTGAATATTTTTATTAATAGTTGTTATGTCCCCGCTCTAGTCTAGTTATCATCTACTGTCTGTACCACTTTCATAACAAATAAATTTCATTTCAACATTCCAGATTTACGGGTGCAGTGGAGGCTCGCGCGCAAAAGAGCAACGAGAAGGTGTACTTATTGAGGCCGGAGACCTTTGAGAGCTACTTCATCATGTGGCGGCTCACTAAGGAGCAGAAGTACCGGGACTGGGGCTGGGAGGCTGTACAGGTCATGATTTACTACTATATATATACATCCAAAGTTATAGGGTACGATTAGGTAAATTACAAGTTAAGGGGATAACTTCATTATCATAGGGAATAGCAACGTATGAGTGGTATCACTGTCACGTGATGATCGGATGTTCGTACTGTTGTTCATAAGGGCCGTCAGCTCGTTTATGAACTTACATAAAATATGTAATATGCAAAAAATAACCAGATAACCAGTCAATTTAAATTATTGTACATGTCATATTACGTATAACAACTACAAATGCATGTTTGTTACTCTTTAAGGTAAAAACAACTGGATTGATATGAAATTTTAGTAAACAGATAAATTACCACATAGGATACATTTTATTTATTTATGTATGTAAATATTTTATAATTATATGTGTATATTCGAAATATATAATTTATTGTATATTAAGTTACACTTCTCACTATATTGTTTATTATTGTTACACCTCGACCAGACTCAATCTCATATTATTTATATTTTGTGAATACAATGAATAATGTTCAATCAAATTTAAAATTAATAATCCAGAATATTTCTAACAATATCATCCAGTCCTTAACTCATCAGAGTTATGCCACGCGTACTAAACAAGTTACTGAATATTTTTTATATAATAAGCATTATAATGTCGTTAACAGGCGCTAGAGAAGCATTGTCGCGTGGAGGGCGGCTACACGGGCATAGTCAACGTCTACCATCAGAACCCTCAGGGAGACGACGTGCAACAGAGCTTCTTCCTCGCAGAAACACTCAAGGTGATCATTCGACTCCATTTAATATGTCATTCAAAATGCCGAGAGATTTATCCGAAATCCCGCTCAGAATAATATTATTATTAATAATAATATATATTATATTATTATTAATAATTGTGACGACATTTAAAAATTATCCTGGGTTGTCCCAGGATAATTTTGAAATGTCGGAAATATTTTTGCTAATCATATAATTGCACTCAATTCGCAATAATTAATCATGTAATTTCTGGAATGTTACCTACTACATAATAATAACTCTAGCCCCGAACAAAACAGAGCTTGTACTACGGGTACAATATAACTGATAGAAATACTTAAATACTTATTGTAAATATTCAATATGTTGTATTAAGAAAACATCCAGCAATCATATTCATGATCGTATCCTGCAGGAATCGAACCTGCGACCATCGGAATTAAGGCTGTGCTAGACCATTTAAACCATAAAATATTAGTATAGTATTTTATGTTATCTAGATTATTATGTGTAATGATATAATATAATTATATTACGAATAACATATAGTATGTTATCATGAATGTAATATTATCGTAAATTTAATATTTTTTCTGATAAACATTTTAACTGATGTAACAAAAGAATAACAGAATAAAATTTGCTATACTCATAACCGACTACATACACATAAACAAGAGTTTAGTTATTGTAATTCTGAATACCACATGTATGAATTCAAGGACACACCTCGTAATAAATATAATTAATATTGTTTTAGTACTTATACCTTCTATTCGCTGATGACTCACTGCTATCCCTCGACGAGTGGGTACTCAACACCGAGGCACATCCACTCCCAATCAAGAACAAGAACCCATTATACAGAGCAGCTGACAAGTCCATCGACATTGGCAATGAAGACAACCGGGTGTAAACACTAGTGAATTATTTCGTTGAGTTTACTGCATATTTATTAAATACACCTCTAAGGTACAGTTTGCGGCAAACAACTTGAACACAAGCCAATTAAGATTGCGCAGTAAATACTTTTATATGTAGAACTGCAACTGCGGATGCCACGCGGTGTTGAAGCGATTTTAATACCACTTGCTCAAGTTATTTGTCAGTGCCGTTAATGGTCGGAGAGAATATTGGACTCGTACCGTCTTATTACAAAAAGATAAACCTGGTTTAGCACTAGTATAAACCATTGACCAAAGAATTCCTTATTACAAAACGAATTTTATCTCTAAACCGTGATTCGTCTATGGTCTAAAGTTAGACCTGTGATGCCCCTAGTTTAACAGTGGTCTAAACGACAAACGTCAAACTCCATTTTTAAACTTTTATATTGTCAGTTGTTGTTTTATTGAAAATATCGGTATTTACGATGGATTTAGTGGATTTAATAGATTTTGAAGATTTAGAAGACGTTGAAACGTTAGGTACTTTTCGACGACCTAACCGACATCGTATTCGACAAAACCCGTTTGAGATGTGCGATAACGATTTTAAATATAAACATCGTTTTACAAAACGTTTTGGATTGAAAATAGTGGAAATTATTCATGAAAGTATAGTTCAAGACCCCCGAGGATGCCCTATATCACCTGAACTTCAAGTTGTATGCGCATTACGAAACTGGGCTCGACATGAAGTAAGTAACTGTATTCTATTTTAATTCTATTGCCTAAGGTAACATCAAATATTGTAACATTTAATTATATCTTGTCTGCAGATTCAAGATGATACCGCTGATTTATATGGTATTTCACAACCCGTTGTCAGCAAAATTTGCAAGAAGGTAGCAGGTGCTTTAGCATCTGTGTCTTCAAGATTCATAAAAATGCCAGCCACTATAGCTGATCAAGAAGAAACAATGAGAAAGTTCCGTAGCATAGCTAATTTTCCCACCGTAATTGGTGCAATTGATTGCACACACATTAGAATAAAAAAAATAAATGCTGATGATGGTCAGCTATACATTAATAGGAAAGGATATCCATCATTAAATGTACAGGTAATGTTGTATTTAAGAATATATCTATATTGGGATATTAATGGTGACTGTGCATGCAAATATCTAGTGTCCCTAAAAGTTATAAAATTTTAATCATGAAATTGTAATTGGTAGGATAATCATACCATATGTAAGTCACCAAATGTGAATCTCCTATTTGGTCTTACCAATATACTCAAACATCTGTAGGTTATTTATATATATATATATATATATATATAGTACACGATAAAAATAAATTGTCAATTTAAAGAAGTAAATTTTTAAGTAATTAGGATATCATGTAATAATTTAGACTGTGTAATTTTGTCAAAATAATAATGCTTTTATGTACATAATTTCTTAATTATTTTATTGTCAGTCACATTAAATCTCCAAGCATTGTATGTTAATATTTATTAAAAAAAGGAGATTAAGTAAGTCATAAATAGTACATTTTAATGTTTTCATTTTTCAGGTGGTTTGTAATGCGGACCTGAAAATTATGGACATTGTCACGAGGTGGCGTGGTAGTGTACATGATTCAAGAATATTTCGGGAGTGTAGACTAAAACAGAGGTTTGAAGCTGGGGCCTTCTCCGGAATATTACTAGGAGACAGTGGATATCCCTGCACTCCATATTTATTTACCCCGGTATTACATACTAATACTCCTCAGGAAGAAACTTATAACAGGTGTCATATACAGACACGTAACACAATTGAGAGATGTTTTGGGCTGTGGAAACAAAGATTCCGTTGTCTATTAAGAGGCATGTTTGGAGACATTGAAACAGCCAGAATGACAGTTGTAGCTTGTGCAGTGCTTCACAATATTGCAATAGATATGAAGGAAGACATTTTTCCTGGTGAGATTACTAGAGAATCTACTTCAAACACAGGGGTTTTACAACAAAGTGTTCATAACACACTTCGTGGTACTATTAGGAGAAGGCAGTTCATAGAAACTCATTTTTAGTTTAATTATTTATTTACACAACACAATCAGCCTTATATCAGTACACAGACACTCATTATATAGTATCAGCCTTAAAATCAGTAAAGACACTCTTTATTGTACAATATCAGCCTTAAAATCAGAATCAGGACATTGATTATTATATGTTTTTTATATTGTATGATGATTTTTAGATTTTAATAAATCTATTTCTAATTCTAATTTTTTTATTTTTAACTTCAATATTCTAATATTATATGCATGTTCAACTTCTAACATTTCCAAATTTCTTCTTTTAAATGCTATATTGTTTTGTACAATAGATTCTCTCATGTCATCTCTGTGAACAAAAAAATAATACCACATTAAATTGATGAACAAGAACTCAGGGTGCAGATCAATATTCTAATAGTAGTATTTGTACTATATAGTATAATAACACTTAAAAAACTTATGTTTAGACAAATTGACTAGTTACAATTTTATATTAACATATGAAAAACATTCCAATGTATATGATTATTAACTTCTATCTTTGGAAATTTAAATTACAATAACCTTTGCAATAAAACATTGACATACTAATATTTCTAAATTTCATGTATCACTCCTAACATGCAAAGACAATTTATTTGTACATACTTCTTTTGCACCTCCTTCTTTGATTTCATTGCACGCTCCCTTTTATTTTCTTTATTATTTTGTAATGGTTCAACTATTGCTATAAATAAAAAAATTCTCAATTAATAATATTTATGAATGTATACAAATTTTACAACAGAATAAAAAGTTATTACACATACTTTTATACTTCATTTATACATATAAATAAAATTGGAGTATCTGTTTATAATATTGAAATAACCATGCATGCATATGAATATAAATATGTACATACACCTTAAATAACATTTTTTGTCTGTCTGTCTGTTTGTTCCGGTTAATCTCTGAAATTGCTGGACCAATTTTGATGGGACTTTTTTTTGGCAAGTAGCTGATGTAATAAGGAGTAACTTAGGCTACTTTTATTTTAGAAAAATAAATTAAATTCCATGTGGATGAAGTCGCGGGAACAGCTAGTTTATTAATAAAGTGTATTAATGTAGGTAGGTAAAATATGCTCTTGACATAAAGTGATACAAGCTACATAGCATGTTTTATTTCATAGTACTATAAATTAAAGAGAGAGATATTATCCTCTATGACAAATACTTATATGTATGTCAAATTAAATGAAGATTAGTTAATCAGAAAGCCAAACATACACATTTATATTTAACTTAGCTATATAGCTATGCTAAATATAAATGTGTATGTTTTGCTAGTTTTGATAGTATATTTACCTTGTTCTTCCACAGTTTTGAGTATTGGCTCAGTGTCTGAGGTCAAATCAATATGATTTGAACTATGACCACTGACTTCATCCTGCTGAATTTGATTGTCCTCCTACAACCAAGTGGTATATTCAAGTCAACATCAATATTGTTATTTACCACTACTATTATGTGTGCTATGATAATCATAAAAGAAACAATATGTATAATTTTTCATACAAAAATCATCAGCATTTTAGTGTGATGAAATTTTATTTACCTCATAAATTTATGACCTTTGAATCAGAATAATCATTATATAGTAGATACAAACCATGGCAGTCACAGCATCACTGTCATAGGTGTTTATTTCCACCACAAAGTCTAGTGGTGCAATGGCCATAATATCCAAGTCTTCTTGGGATGGTGACTGTGGCTTTTCTCCACCACCAGTTTGTGACTGCTGTCGCTTGAAGCTGGATATGTTAGCTTTAGCCGATAATTTTAATCTTTTCCAGGCCATTTTTAATTCTTTGTCCAATCTACTGTTACCAGTAATTTCATTGAATCTAGAAATATTAGACATATATTAATAATATTTTGACAAGAAAGTTTGTAAGTATGGATGTTTGTTACTCTTTCACTCAAAAACTACTGAACGGATTTTGATGAATTTTGTACAGTAATATAGCTTATGCATGAGAATAACACATATGACTATATTTTATACTAACATTTAACGCGGGCGAAACCGCGGGCACAGCTAGTTAACTATAATATTTAAAGCAAATGATACAAAAATAAAAATAATAATACAAATATAAATACGTACTTATTTGTTATTTTTTTCCACTCTTTGGACTTTAAAATATTTGCCGACGTTTTTGTTGATTTGTCCTCTATTATATGCGCCGATGCTGAAATAATTTCGCGTAATATTGCCTAAAACATTTAAAATAGTCGCTATTATTTCGCCATAAACTGTATTAAAACTCAATTGACTGAATTTTATAGTTTATAAGTACTAACTTTTTCTTCTGGTGTCCAATTTGCACTCCTTTTCTTTTGTAAGCTCATAATTTTAAATATTTTTGTACTTTATAATTATTGAAAAAAATTGCTAAAAAACTTTTGTTCTTCATTATATGCAGTAATGGCGCGATGTTATGATTCGAAACGAAGTGATAAAAATACGAGATACGTTCCTGTTCTCCGTGTACTTTCAAAATATAAAACAGATTTTAAATGTAATACCATGTTAATAAATATTACATATTAATAAAATAGTTATAAAGAAGACATAAATAAATACATATATAAATATTTTTATTTGATACAATTTTCCTTGAAGTAATATTATTTTTTATCATTTCAGTTTTCTGGTAAAACGGAACGCAATTGTAGGCTGACAGAGATGAATGACTGATTTCTGTATATTATCTGTGGGGAATATATAATGAACGATTTAACTGTAGTACTAAGTAGACCTCTGTTAAATCTGGATTCATAATAATGTTCGGTTTATTCCAAGTATTAACTTTAGGAATGGTTTAAACCTCGACTATTTAGACCACGTTTCGTCCGAGTTTTAACAGATTTTTTGTAATAAGACCGGTAGAGTTTATTTTCGCCACATTTTTATTTTACCCAAGCTAACATTCTTTTAATTTGTAATTCTTTATAACTTCACAGCATAAAAGTAGCCTGTGTTCTCTTCCATCAAATATTGCATTTATGTAACATTTCATGACTTGGTACAGGCGTTGGGTGCCAATAGGTGTTAGTAAGAATAATAATCGATTACCATTCTCACTGGCACTTATATATGTATTATTTAATTTAAAATGAACCTGCATTTGTATTTCGGGTATATGATAATAGATTAAAAATTGGACCTTCCTTCCATTCCTTTCAAATATAACTATGGATATAATAAAATTTTAATAAACCGACGTTGAAATATACATTATGGATATAAGAATATAAGAAAGCATGATGATTTTTGCAGCAACTCGCATTACGCAAAAACTACTGCATAAAATTAAGTATAGTTTTCAATTAATGTTATAGGCCTTACTTAAAACAGGTTTTACGCACAGAAAAACGGCTTGTCGTTGGGTTTATAGGTTTCGCTAAATTTTAGCAACAATTATCAGCTGGTAATCACAATACATGACAGATGGTAACCAAGTCGATGTTCTGAAGGATGCACAGTGGTTAAAATTCTTACCTTGTATAAATGGGTTTGCTTAGTATAAAACATCGGCACATATATTTATTTATTTATTCTTTTGCATACAAAATTGTATATATGTCGGACTTAATGCCTGATGGCAAATAGCATACTTGAGAGATACAGTTTCCTGTTGGTTTAAGGGATTGGAAGGTTGTTTTTTAATCTATTAACATTGTACTAAGTTTATATTTCGTTTCATAACAAGAGATCAAAAAATAATAATTCTCACAACTATTTTTGTTTAATACATAATTGAGATTATTAATGTTTAACTTAATTGGAAATAATAATCTGTAAATGTATTTTTTCTTCACTCTGTATTCTCAATATACAATTACATGACATTAAACGAAATTTATGGTGATTGTTATATATATATCTAATTTATTTGTTGTAATTTAGTTATAGTTTTCTTGAGTGAGATGTAGTTTTAAAAATTTGACACTGTATTACCAACATATGATAAAAACTCTTTTAGTTAACAATTGCACATACAAATACCATTATAAATAAATACGAGAGCAACTGGACTCAGACATAGTTGCAATATGTGTGTATTTTATTAATTTAGTTTCAAATATCAGCCTAATAGTATTTAATATAAAACCACTTAATGTTAAATAGAAAAAGGACAAGAAATATCGCTCTTACTTCGATGTCAAACGGTGTTGAGAACGGCGCCGCTAAAGGTCTTGTGGTATTTATTAAGTTGTTAATGCAATATTTGTTTTTCCTCATGAAGTGTTGTTGAATGATATTAAATAGATTTTTTTGTTTAATTCTCTTTTGTTCTTTCTATATTCTCGAGAATGTTCGTGAGTTGCCATTTCAATTATTACCAGCGTGGAATGGATATGTAGGTAATCAATAAATACTTCTTAACTAAATAAATGAATGGGGACTCCATTGATTTATTAACTTTGTATTTAATAAAATGTTTTTCCAAAAACATAGGATTATATTATTATAGACAAAGAAGATATCGGTTAAGTTTGGTATTGGTTATTTTGACCATTATATTTCACTTTATAGCTAAATAATTATTAAAAAAAACCATTCAATAATAAACGTTGTAATTAAGTATGTAACGTTTATTTTGCAAAACAAAATTAGATTAGCTATATAATATGAATTTATTAGCTAATTTTTATACATAATACAAGTAAACTAGAGCCTTATTTATAATTGTCATCATTGTGAAAAATCTGCTAAGTTAGTATACAGTGAAAGTAACATATGTTTGTAATTGTAATCTTAATAATTGCTCAAGTCAATTAAACAATATTAGAGGAATCATCCACATTTACAAACTGGTACAACAACTGGAAGTAGCGCGATTTATAATTGTAATAGTATTATAATTAATATGAAAAAATATAAAAATCAATAGATAATACTTGTAAGTGATAATTTTATCTATAATACAAATATTAGAAGGGAGATTTTAAGCTGAAATAGGTTTTTCCCTTTAATACGAAATTATTGCTTCTTCTGACTGTATAAGTCTCTTCTTGGTATAACAGGATTTAAATAATTTAATTTTAGAACTATATACTTATGAATATCACAAAAATACGCAACAAGTTATAAATTGCGCTAATTGTATCGTATTTTGTATCTACCATTTGGAGCAGCAGTGGATCTTTGAATACTTATTTGTAATGATCCATTTTAAAGGCTAAAGCTGTGTTTTCAAATTTACCGAAACTCTTCATAACTTTGGGAAATTCCATGCATAGTATATTTATTCTATGTATGGTACGGTAAGTGCGGGAAATATCACAATTATCTTACCCTGAAATATACATTAAATTTTATGAAGTTTTTTTTTGTTATTTTAATACTTTAGCATAATATAACGTTTAGCTTGATTCGTAAAATGCTCTAAACACAGTAGTCCAAATCAAATAACATATTTGTATATTTTCGCGTTCTATAAATGTACCTTTACGACAGTCATCCCAGATGAGGTAGTCAGAGGCATAGTTTACTGTCAATATCAGGATCAAGGCAATACGCAACACATTTTGCAATTTTAACAAAGTGTTAAAATTATGTGACTAAAGATTCGATCACTAAGTGATGGCTGAATCGTTTTCTGATAGAGATATTAAATGAACGCTCAGTGTTAATGATCAACGAAGTATTATAATGTTCACAATGCATACCATTATGGTAAAACATTTGAAATATCAAATAACTCGTTAAATTGTCATTTATAATGTATGTAGAGAAATTTATGCTCATGAATTATAATACTGAGTATCTAGGTAATATTTTTTATATTGGCTCTAACATTATATTATCGATTGTAGTAGATTAACATGATTTTCATATAATCTCTATTGTGCATCGATAAAACAATTTAATGTCACTTTCCTTAATTACTAATAATATAATAACCGAACCAGTTGTTTAGTATAAATAGAAATTAAAGCTATTGTAATTTATTAACTTAATTTTTTATAACTTAGTATAAATATATATTTTATTTATATACCTATTTAATACACATACCGTCTTTATTGTATTAATTTCTAACAGATCTCGTATTTAAATTTTGAAACGTAAATATTTTGAAATGTATCATAATAATTTTATTTATAGAATACATATCTTTTTTGTATGAACTAGTTTATATGTGTATAACGTAGTATTTAGTATTACACTACTAATTAATAGGCACACATGCATTTTACCGGCCTATTACTTTAAAACAAAACAATTTGTGTTTGCAATTTGAATTTCTGTATAGTTTTGTATTTATATAGGAAGATTGTATAAAAAATTGTGGACCCTAACTTGAAGCCATGAAATGCTAATTAATAATTTTTTACAGCCAGTAATAGGTATAATAACAATGTTCTTTACTACAATGTGTAATTTTATTTAAACACTAGTGAAAAAAAACAATATTTTTTTAATTATTTTTGTTTTCTGCACCTGTTAATAAAGCATTACAGATTTATTTACATCGTACTATGATTTGGTGATAACAGAAATAGGCGCAATTAGTAAATAAAATATTAGGGTGATTCAAGATATTTGACGGTCCCTCATTATATTAGGAGTAGAGATATATCTGTAAATTATGTATATAATAGGAAGGTCCGACCGAATAAAGCTTAAATATTAATTATAAGTATTTACCGGCTAATCGCGTGAGTGCCTTTTCACGTAACACCCGTGGCGATGTATATGGGCATACAAGATAACTTTTACAGGTATAATTTATCTGCTGTGCCCATACGCTTCCCCGCTAGTAATTGGCGTTTGGTGTCTACCCGGTAATTAAACATGTGAAAAGGCATTAAGTCCATATAAAATGACTGCTTTAAAATAAATATTAGGGAAATATATAAATACCTGTTTTTTTTTATAATAACTAGATCTTTAGAGTAACGATTTTATAAACTATTACTATATTCCATCAATGAGTAGATGATTAGAGTTAAGCTTTTCACTGCTGCTGATTTATAGGTTTGACATGACCCTAGATTCAGAGGCAATATCGGAGCAGTAGTGGTGGAGATAGTAATAATTTGAAATCCTTAAAGGTAATATACCTAACGATTTGCATACACAAGGGGATCTAGTATATTAACCAAGGCACTCCCCACAAATTCAAAAATGATTTATTCACGTAGGATACTTTAGCCGCTTATGAACGTCAATTTTTTATATTATAATTTTTTCCAATTCTTTCAATTGAGAAGAACTGGCAAGATACTCAATTAAATTTCTTATTATAATTTTTACTAGATATTCAGTTTATTTACAATGTTTATTTATATAGGTGTCTATGTCTAACATTAAATGAAAATCCCCGTTCATGAACAACTTGCCATGCACGCTCGTCATTCAAGTAATCGTTTAGTGAGTAATAGGCAATAACTGCTATTCACCCTGAT